ACATGATGAAATATTTTGTTCAGGTGTCTTTAAAAAAAAGTCTCTTTGTTTTTAAAGAAATTACATCTTGATTTTTATTTTTTTTAAATCAAAATCAGAATCCAATGTTTTCCTTTTAATCTCTGTTCTGGACAATTTAGAAGAATTTTTCTGAAATTAAAATGGATGGTGAATTTCATCAATGTTGAGACCTATGTTGGAATGGAAACAGTCATTTTCTGGGAAGAAAAAGATGTGAATTCTCCCACTGAAGCAACTAACTGACTTTGCTATCTGCTGGTGTCAAAAGCAGCAGCCAAATTAAATGTGAGCTACGGACAATCAGATTCACTCATCTTTTCATTTCAGTTGGTGGTGTTCTTGATGCGTCTGTTGCTGATCTTGGGAGGAAGAGTCATCTTGGGTGCAGCTCATAGAGCAAACGAGTATGTGGAAAACCCCTTGCTTGACCCCTGCATTGAAAAGTGTCCCAGTAAAGACTTTATTGTTATCCCTTCTTTCATTGAGCAAATTCATTCACGATCTTAACACTTTTTCCTAAGGTTGATCCAATGGAGAACTGGCTTATCTTTGTTTACTCGTAATTAAAGAGGGATAACTTCTAGATGGACATCTGTTGGTCAGCAGTTAAGCTGAAATCCTGTGCCGAGGTCTGTAATTGATGCACTTACATAAGATTCTGGAGAACAGACGCTTTTGGCGATTGTCGATGCAAACAATAAACCCTTTCTGCTGCTTCTGCTGCTGACTCTCCCTGGAAGCTCGGTAGCCACGTGTGGGATCAGTTGCAGAGCCTTCGTGCTGCGGGAGCGGCATCATGTAGCATCATGCAGGGAAAACGGTTTTGCCGTGCTTTTACATATCCTTATACTTGATTTTGTGTCGATTCTGGCTTGTCCGAGTCGCCTGCAGCTGCCCAGAGAGTGGCAGGACGTGGGGAGAAGGGCAAAGGCTTCCGCAGTTCTGCCAGCGCAAGCGGAGGGCTTTGTCCAACGAGACAAAAGCAGTTTAGTGTAGTGGCAGTGTGAAAACACGTTGCTCATCGGGATTACCCAAAGAAAGTCCGTGGTGCTAAGTAACAGATCTCTCCTTCAGTGAAAGTATGAATGCGTGGGGTTTTCTGTGTTGCGGTTAACATGAGCAGCGTTTGCTAAGCTGAGTATTTCTTTTTGTAGTTTTGTGTAGAGCTGGAAAACTTGTTAGAGAATCTTTTCCTTTTGGAGAAATCTAGTCTCCAAGTCACGTCCTCATTACTTTGTTCTTGAAATGTTTGAGGTGCTGATCTTTCCTTAAAAAAAAAGGTCTTACTTTGGATAAATTGTTATATTGTTTGGGAAAAGGAGAACTGCTGCCTATGTCTGCCTTTTACAGTGAGACACATCTGGGCACTTGGAGTTTCTGTGTGTTCAACAGCAGGTTATGGCCTGCTGGGGCTCTTCTATCGTCATCTCTCCTTCTGGGCTCCTTCCTCCCAACAAAAATCTGAATGTTCCTTTTTTGTTGTTGCAGGACAGAGATTTCTCTGATTTCAAAGTTTCATTAATGCAAGAAATTATCACATCTAGGGTTTCAGCATCTAGTGCTGAAAACAGTTCTAAAAATGGCAACACATGGTCTCTCTAGAGCTGCCACTTTTGCAAGTGCTCTGCTGCAGCAAAGCTGAGGCTACAGTGTAATTAGGAGTTTGCTTTGGGATAGGTTATCATTCCAAATATTAAAGTTATTGCTTAAAGATTATGCGTACAAGGGAAGAGTGCACATAGTTACTGATTTAGGTAGCCAGATCAGGCATTTTCTTCTGTCTGTAAAATAAAACTTTTTTATTTTGGTTTTTATAAATAACGGAAAAATAATAAAAAAACCCCAAACATGATGCTTCATTTCAAATAAATTGAAGGTCTTAGGTTCATGGAGACTACTTCACTGCACTTTATTTTTTGTAACAAAAGTGATTTGACTTATTATTTGTGATAATGAGGAGTTTAATGAAAGCAACTAATTAAATCATTTGTTCAGGCAGTTTCCACCATCTAAGCTCCATCATTACATTGCACACAAGAGAAAAAAAGTAGCAAGACATCAGGAAAAAATCCAGAAAAACTAGCAAGGAATATTCTGACGGATTCACAAATTCCAGGCTATACGTAAATAATGTACTAAAACTTTTTTGCTTATTCCTTTGATGATGCTCGCAGTAAAGCGGCAATCTTATTTTATTTTGCGGACAAGGGTGTTTAGACTTTCTTTTCTAACTGTCCTCTGGAACTGTGCAGTGAAACCCAATACCTTTTACTTATTTCCCTGGATACTCTAATCCCTCCCTGCTTTACCAGCATCTTTGAGCTGCTCTTCCCTTTGTATCCACAGCAACACGAATCCCTGCTGGAATTATTTACTTCTAAAATGCAGGTGTGCTTGTTTAATGTTGCCTTGGCTCAGGCTCTTGACTCGAAGACTTTTGCACCAAAGAGGAACCTCTGCCTTTGCCCTGCTCCGTACGAGGTGTTGTTACGTCTATTAGTAGCGTCTAAGACCTTCTCCCTCCAACATCCACTGTCTGTTTTCTCAGAGCCCTTGTTGGTTTCCAGTTAAGAGCTTTTAGGCAGCAGTAAGGAATCAAAAGCCATGGTAAATAAACCATCCTTTTGTTAGTGTCGAAATAATGATGCTGCAAAGAGGGAAGGGGAACGATGCAGTGCGGTACCGTGCGGCACAGTCGCTGGTCGGGCGCTCAAAGCTGTTGTCTCCGTGTGGCTCTGGGTGCCAGTGCCTGACAGCAGCCGTGGCCGGGCACCCACAGCTTGCCTGCGGTTTTCAGGCTTGTATTGAAGTGCTGTATATAGATTTAAACCCCTAAGGTTAGGCATGCCAGCTATGGCTCTGGAATCAAGCTCTTTTAATACAATATACTAGCGGTTTATTTATTTCATTTAAAGATTCTGATCATGTTCACAAATGCCAGCCTGTGCTTAAGCATTTAACAAACTCTGATTCTCAGCTGAAGAGGAATGTTACCTCTCTGTTTGAAAACGTGACCGTTATTTGCATGAAGTGGTGCCCGGAGCTCTGCTGCTCCTCGGACCCAGGAGGGCAGCACGGGGCAGAGCCAGGTACCAGCCTCGGGGTCTGTTGGGTTCTGCCTCCAACAGCAGAACGCCTCCTTGGTAGCTTTAAACCAGTTTTCTTTGTAGCTTGATTTTTCTCAATGTGGAATGGAAATCAGAGATATGACTCACTTCATCGCAGCGTTCTAAGGAGATGCTAATCAACATTTTGATGCCTACAAGATTAATGAATGGGAAACATGAATTAATGTTTGGGGCATATGGGAATGCCATGGGAGCGCTGAGGTAGAAGTAAATCATTAGTTAGTAAATTGTGCTGAGTGAAAGGTCTGAATTGAAGCCTCACGCTCAATGGGGAGGAACTGAACAAATACCAGATGACTGTGGAAATACTGGATGACTGCGTATGGACTCAATAGAGGTAGAGCATCTGCAGAAGAAAATAGTATGTGACCGGATCAATAAAGTGCATCATAGTGCAGTCATGCAAAAGAGGCACATGAATGTTGCCTAGGGCCTTCGTTCAGCCTTTTTTCTGATGCTTGCTTGCTACGCTTTCATCCTAAATATTGTTAATGTGATATAAACTGAATGTTATTGTAGCATCTGCGTTTGGAGACCTGTTGGCAAGAGGCCACGCAGCATGTACAGAGATGATTTCAGCTCTAAGCTGAAAGTTCATTGCTAGGAGGGCAGACAGGGTAGGAGAACGCCTGGGATGTTTATGTACTGTTGTACTTCGTTTTCCTCATAATTACGTGTAAACTAGACGCCGAGAAGTCACCCTTTTTAGGTGTGTAAAGCTATTGTAGTGGTGTGTAGGAGTGCTCCGTGAGTGCAGGTGGCTTTCTGTACACTCTACATCCAGCTTAACGTATGGGGCCAACTCTCATTTACATGAAGACCACTTTGTATGGCTCAGCCAGCATAATGTGGCCACAAACGAAGAGCAGATTCTATTTACACCCACCTCTACAGAGTGACCTTAATTTAAACGGGAATCCAGCCCATAATCTGTATAAATATATGCACTCTGTTACATTAAGGTTATTTATTACATTGCACTCGGCCTGAGTGTGCGTGGAGATTTACCATAGATAATCCATAATCCAGAATTAAACTATTAATATGCATTTTGAGAGGGGCAGCCATAACCTTGAAATTCCTTGGTTTAAGCGTGACCTTTAACTTTGTTTGAATATATTTTTTAAACGTATGAATAACAAATTAACATTGGTTGATAAAAAACATTCTGATTCCTTTGTACCATTTGCATCAATCCATACTTAACTTACAGAAAGCCTTGAAGATTAGAAGGCTTAATCACTCCTAATATTTATTTGTTTTTAAATGTCAGATCACATTTAGTTCAAGGTACTGTCAGTCTTGTTCCCCCCCACGCTCTGGTGTTAATGAAACTACGGTGGAAAGCATTCCTCTTTTTGTGTCCGAAGACACATACATCTTAGCAAAATGGCAAAATGCTTCGTACCGGACCCGAGTTGAAGGAATTACTTTCAGTATCCTCCTGAATTTGGAATTAAAATCTGTGCTGTTCTTTTGATACGCCCTCCTAATTTCAGTAGACCTGTTGAGGGAGCAGACAAATCGCCAGTTGTCTGGAATTCCTTTTTCCCTTTCCTGCAGCGTACAGAAGGTGAGCTGTGAGCAGCAAAGGTGTTGGCACAAAGACTCGGTGGTTTTACGATGCCTTTTGTGCTCACGGAAGGTAAATCCTGCCCAGATATCTGTCAGGATTGAGACAATGTGCTGGATGCTGCACAGCCCGGAAGCCACGGTGATGGAGCGGGAGGCTGAGCTGTGAACACCGTGTGTGCTGGGGTGTCGGAGTGCACCCGCAGGATGCCCGCAGCAAGGGCAGCCTCAGCACCCTGGCACGGGCCAAACCGCAGCCTCTTGTTCTTCTTTCCACAGCCCGCGCCTGAAGTTCAACAACCTGACCTTGATTTCAATTCGTGGCCTCCCAGGAAAAGACCTACTGGGCTCCAAACATAGAAGATTTTTAATTAACAGGTTTGATTTAATATCTAAACACTTCCATAGCTTCAAAGGAAAACATCACACTTTGTAATTCTTTGTGAACTTGTCCGAAATTTTAGATAGGTGCGTAGACAGATAACCTCAAAATAATCCAATCTGTCTGTGCAACCTGTGTTCACCTGGGAATGAGTTGGATGTTATTATTGCTCGGGAAACACTGCTAAAGCAGTAACTTCAGGACAGCAATCCATTGTATTACACCAGGACACTGGTCTCTGCTTTCCAAGACTTTTTAGGTTGTTTAGATCTCCAGGTTAAAGAAAAATGACAAAAGATGTGTGCTTGCTTTTTAAATATTATTTAGTTTTTAAATTCCTTGAGTTTTATTCCAAGTAGTGCTGAACAAAATGATATATGAGAATTAATATTACAATGTGACCAATGATCTACTTGGAGCAGCCACACCGTGAGATGCAGACCCCACTGGTGGCAGAGGGAATTTGCTGAGTGTACAGGGGAAGGTTTAGGATTATTACTGCTGATATTTGGAAGAAGTGTGCTGCATCAGTTCTGCTGCTTGGGAACTATTTGCGTGCCAGTCCCTGGGCTGTGGGAGTCCATCTCCAGTCCCAGCCAGTGCTGTCGCTTTTCCTCACCCCCCCGGGCTGGCAGCGCCGCGGGGCTGGTGCAGAAGAGCCGAAGGGAGGATTGGGAAGGACGGCTATGCGTGTGCCTAGTGAGGGGTCAAACGTTTCGTGAGTTTTCTTGTTTGCTGATAAGTAAAATACCTTCTATTTAGTGGGGTGAAATCTCACCTCATTAAAATTCAGCCTGAAATTCTCACTTAAATTTAGTACGTTTGTTTTGACCGTTTTATTTTCTATTTTGGAATAGTGACTAGCAACCCTCGCTGCAGACAGGAACATGCTTGTTCTGGACATGGAGAAGCACAGAACGAAAATGGCTCAGTTATTTTGAGTCATTTTGAGCTGGGGAATGAACTTGGTATAATCCATTTAGATTTGGCCTGTGACTCTCTGGAACCTGCGCACCGCTTTTCCCCGTATCTTTTGTTCAGTAAGCAGCAGTGCCCTGAAGGGAATGGCACAGCAGCTCAATGTCTGCTTGTCCGACATTAAAACCAAAATATCTACAAAGAAATGAGAATGGTGTGATGGGAACCTGTTTAGAACCATCTTATCTCGTTTGGAATTTTGCCCTGTCTGGAAATTTTGTATAAGTAGTTAACTGAATTAATATTTTTTTTTTTGTGTAGAAAGGGTTATGTTTAGATACAAATCTAGTAAATGACGGTGTTATATGCTCACATAAATGCCTCTACTTTTTTTTTCCTAAGTATACTGGAAAAAAGAGTTGTAATAACAAAACATCCTTCCTGACGGAAAGTTGCAGTTCATAGCTGCCTCGCCAGAATTAGCTGTTAAAATTTGAAAGCAGATTAAGAGTGAAAATTGAACTCTGCAGGGTATGATTTTTGAAAGCATCCCTGTGATTTTGGAGTGTCAGTCTCCTGGGAGCTGTGCACCTCAATTATAAAGGTGCTTTTGAAAACCCTCATCTGTCCTTGATGTCCGTTTTATTTATAGATTTCTGCATGATTACAGTTCAGAATTGTCAGTGGGTTTCTTCCCTTATTTATTTGCCTCTGTTATCTGTGAGCACAGAGGATGCAGAGCACCTCAGAAAGCCTGATTGTTCAGGCCTAAAATTCTTCGGGTCATGAAAGCAACTTGATTTGTTTCTGTGGCATCCGGTATGGCAATTTGGGGAACTTGGCAACAGCAATTAATGTGTAGCTCTCAGCTCTGGTTTAAAATGCATATTCTGGTGCTGATGGAGAAATAGCAGCTGGTAGTGCTGAGTCGTCCTCTGCTGCAGGCACTGGGATAACACAAAGGCATCAAATGCTTGAACATGAGCTGAGTCCTCTTCTGTTTAGTTCCATTGCCTCTAGTCCTGTGGAAGAAAGCAGAATGTTTTTCATCACTCAGTATCAATAGAAGGTAAAGTTCTTGAGCCTCTGAGTGGCCATGAGCTTTATTTGGTAGATGGAATATTTTTTCTGCGGTGCCTTCAGATCACAGCCTGGGTGAAGCCCAGGATTTCTTTGTTGGCCATTCCCATCTTGTCTCATAGGTGCAAAGTGCTAGCAGGGGTGAGACTCGGCTTCCTTTCGCACAGGATGGGCAAGTTCCATCTTCTTTCCATGTCGCTCTGATCTCCTAAAGCAGACATCTGTGTAACATCAGCCATTCGTCTTTTTTGCTTGTTTAAAGCCTGTTGCATTCTTTTTCACTGGATCTTGCGAGTTCATCCTTCTATGAAGCTATAAATGGGTTTGGGATTAGCATTAATCTTCAGTTCTGAAGACTTCAAACTGAAACAACCTATTTTAACAGAATTTTGCCTGGTTTAAATTTTCAATGCTGGGAACGTATTGAGTTGAGCATAGCTGGATTTGCAGAATGGCCAGCAACACACTGTGTATTTTGGGCTATGGCAAGACTCAGTGGGGTTCAAGAGTCAGAACAGACCTCGCTGACAATGCGCTCTCTCTGGTCCTCCATGCATTTTATAGTGGTGTGTCTACTGTACATCTGTATTGAAGTCTTTTGTCTTCAGGAATCTTTGTCCTTCCAGAAGTCTGTTAAGCAGAGAGGGTAGTACAAATGCAATAATAAATAAGTATCCTGGTATTTGCTTAGTTGGGCAGAGTGGGGGCATACCCTGAGTCATAAGACTTGTGGCAATAATTTTAATTTTCATTACTGAGGCATTAAAAGAGGTTTTGTTCCATTCAGATTTTGCTTCAAAATTGTTTTTTTTTTTTTTAAATAACAGCTTCCAGATCTCCAATACTTCCATCATACGTAGGGATATATAGGATACTTTACACTGAAAACAGGCTGTAACACCTCTGAAACCTTAAGTTTCAGTAAGGTTGTAGTGTAGAAGTAGACTGCAGAAGTAGACCTTGCCTGGGATTTTCAAAATTAGGAGTGATTTTGAGTTCCTTAGTTTTTTCGTGCTGATACTGAATTAACACTGCCAGAGCGTGGTGCTCAGAACGTGCACACCCTGCAAATCCGATTTCTGTCAAGGTGTCTCATTTGGACAACACTTAGTCCATAAGACATTCAGGGACAAAAAACCCTCGAAACTATATATGGAACAAGGCTGTGTTTATTAAAACAGACAAACCTTTATATTGTCTGTTACCTAGCACTGGAGGTAATTGGTGTGAAATTATAAAAGTTACTTCCCCATTTCATTAAGAACAAATTGTTGTTCACTTATAAATTAGTGAAGATTAGCATCTTTTCCATCTGCACTGTTTATGTCTCTCTCATTTACCTGCTAATTTTGTTTCCTTTTGGACAGCCTGTGTGATAATTTCTCCTTTATTCCTGTTAATACTCAGTTCATTGTGGAGAGGAATTCAGTTGCATCATAGAGACTTCTGAATTTTGGGGGTAGAGGGTCATTTTAGTACGTTTTCAGAATTTTTCATTCTTGCATTTTGGAGGTTCATTTGGAAAGGGGTCACCAAGAGAAAATTTGAGACCTCTGGCTTTTACTTCTAGCTCTGACAACCATTTTCTGAGCTTTTAAACTTTTAAACTTTCCTTATTTTTAACTTTGCAGACTGATACTTTGGAACACGGATGTTAAAACGCCAGTGGTGCCTTCATTGCATTGTGTCTCACCATGGCCACTACTGGTGAAGTTGAATACCAAATGAAGCAAAATGGGAAAAAACTTAATAAGGGAACCTTGTATAGGAGAAAGGATTGGACTGTTAAAATATGTTCTTTGCAGGAGCAAAAGTCTCCTCCTCACATCAGCCTGCAAAGAAAACGCAGAGTAAAGCATGTATTTCTGACTTGGCTTTTAAATTATGCGGTTGTATGGCCCGGTGCTGGGAGGGATTGTTTGGCTGTAGCAGAAAGTTGTCAATTTGCAACTGAGTATTTCATAATGACTAACCTTTTACTATAGACTGCCGTAAACTCACAGCGAGAGAACAGACTTGAACCACTGGGGGACTTGGGCTAACCCACCAGATGTCTAATTAATGCCTGCTGTCAGCTGCTGAAATGTCACTTACAGATATTCTTTCTTCGCAGCCACTGTTTTAATGACGAAGATTATGCACAGATGTCACTTTGTTCCTGGGTTAACGTCGTGGTTGGTAAAATGACTGGCATAAATCGCGCTGCCAAATACGTGGTTGTTTCCAAGGAGCAGACAATACCGTATGACTACCTTGTTCTGTGCACGGGGCAGAAGTACCAGGTGAGGTGGTGTGCGGGGTGAAAACGCCATCACGCCGCGTTCGGCTTCGACAGTGGATGTTCCTGGGATTAGCAGAGCAGCAGAGTGGCCCTTAGCAAGTGCGTAACCAGAAAGTTTCCTGCCCCTCTGTGTGGCAGGTTGTGCTGTTTCAGTGTGCCCATAGAATTTGGGGGGGGACACGAGATGTTTTACAGAATTTTCTCCCAGCAGTGTCACTGCTCAATATCAGATATTAAGCAAAGCTGCCAGTGTTTTTGCCACCATGACCATTAAAGCCGCTGAAGAGCGGGCCCGATTGACATGTGGCCCCAGCCACAGGAGACTGAACTCCAGCTGGTCCAACACCGTTTGACCTAGTTTCAGCAATGGAGAGAATTCCTTATCAAATTAATTACTCATCTCATGTGGTGACCGTGCCTGGGCACGTACGTGGTGCTGTGTGTTCTTGTAACAAGGAGTTGAGTTTCCAGTGAGACTGAAGCAGACCCGTGGTAATGTGAGATGTGGACTCAAGCTCATCTCCAGCCCCACAGGCTCACCTTTGACTGGGACATCCTGGGCAGGGTTTGTTCCTTCTTGTACATCATCACGTGGCCTTCAAACCATGTGAGGCAAATGGCCACCTTTTGTGCAGCCACATTGCCTGCAGTGCTTTTGCCTTACTCTTGGTTTTGGATGGGAATCACGAGCCAGGTATTCTGCCTTTGGAATCAGGAGGTCAAACTGAGCATGTGTCTGCAGGTTTCTACAGTGGAGCTCACCATAAGTCACAAACACGCATGTGAGGTATGTTCAGCCCCGTAGTGGAATCTGGACTGCACGTGTGCAACAGGTTTGTGAAGCGAGAAAGCCCCAGTTTTTCTGTAACCACTTTGCAGAGCAGAGCCACACTTTAACCAAAATCCATATTCGCTGTTCAACAGCGATAAAACAAAAGGTGAAGTGTGGTCGGAAGGACTTTCAGTGCTCCTAGAAAAAGAAGTTTGGAGGTCACTGACTGGCAAAATAACCTACAGAAATTAACTACACTAGAGGAGAAAGACAAAGGAAGGGAAAACTTGGATCTTAATGCCTTCAAGGAGAAAACCTAACCTCATCTATTCTCACGAGCTATACCAAAATTAGGACAGAATTATTTTTATCTGGTTCCTGTTTTAATACACAGAGCTGTAGTCCATCCTTTTTATAAGTTGTCCCTTATTTGGTAAGCAGTCAAGTTAATGCCTAGGAAAACATTATTCATTGTGATTAAGAGGATTTACTTGTTGGATAAGTAAGATCTTTCGATGTCATGCCTGGTTTTGTGTGACTGAAGAGTATTCCAGTTGATCCAATTGGCAGTGAGCACATTGTTTGGACGTTAATCACCGGTGCTGTAGAAGGCGTAGATGAGATTCCCTTCTTTGTGCTGTAAAATTCTCGTTGAATTTGGTACTGTGAAGTAGCATTATACCATGAGCACTACTGAACCCTGGCGTTTTAACCATCAAGCAGGTTTTGGTCCCCATCTCTGGGACAAAATCTCTCTTGTTGTAGAAAGTTGATTTTTGCTGACAAAAGATGGAGGCAGGCTTGCTGCACAAAGAATTTTCAAGTGTCGTTTAAAGGTCTGTGTTATTCAAATAATGGCAGAGATCCTTCACCAGTGCGTTTATGCATTTCTGCTGTTCACTCTGAAGTCCCTTTCGTTTGCGTTTTGCCTGTGGTGTTGCTCACTTGTCCTGGCAGTGCTGTTCAAAATGGTCACCCATATCTCACGGAAAACGTGGAGTACAGACACACACGTGTGCCCCTCTGTGTGTGTGTACTCCGAGTAGATGGATCTGCTTTCTCTGTGGCCACCCATGTGTTTGCTACTGCAGAATGTTAAGAAGGGTTGGGCTGTACAAGGATAGCAACCTGACGTAGTCAAATGGCTTGTGTCACTGTTATTTAAAATCTTTCTTGACGGCTCTCCAAGAGATATGCCATATATTCATTCACTCATTTATTAATTTCTCCCAGGTCCTGGCTCCCACTGGAGCAGATATCAGTAAGCTCCCAACGAATAGAGAAGTCACGAGTAAGTGGCCACAGAGGTACACAGGGCAAGTCCCTTCCAACCATTTCACTCTCAATGATGATGAGGACTGTTTAAAGGCAACGCACTGGCTGAAGGAAAACGTTGTCAACTCGGAAGGTAAGGGGTTTTGTTAACACACACATATTTACAGAAATGTTTTCTAGGCTTATTGTTTCCTTAATTCCATGGTATAATTGGTGCCTGATTAATTCTAACAAAGTCTTTCATCTGCTGTGCTTTGTTTTCCAGATTAATTTACAATTTGTTGTCATTTTTGATACCCAGCATATTTAGCTGGGGAAGAAAGGCTTTGAGATAGATTAATTATCTATAATTATTATATAAAACAAAATGAGTCCCAAATGCAAATCTGGCTGGAGTAATTAATTAGCCAATTAAATAATAATTTAATTAGTGGATGTGTTTTTCTGTTGTATAGAAAAATATCTACGTTTGAGGTGTAACACAAAGCAAACAGGTCTAAATTAGGAAGTGTTCTTTTTTCAGTATCTGTCATCTTTGCATTCGGTTACGTCGGTTACAGATTTTCGCGCAGAATTGCAGGCTCCTGGTATTTTCTTTTTAACCCTTAAAATCACACATTTGTGCAGATTTTTCTTTACCATACCTGTATTTCCTCAGCCTGTTCATGCGTGCGTCATTCCTATATTCATTAGCTCGTTGACCGAGTGCGTGTACTACTGAAAATACCCGGAATCATTCCGGCTGCCCAGTTAGTTTCAGCTAGAGAAGAAACAGTAAATGAGGTCGTGTAACATGTTCTGTGTGCCAGGTGTGAGTTAGGACTGGGTTCAGATCAGGAAAGCTGTTTTTGTGGAAAGTTCCTGTTGATCGAGTGCAACAACTGGTGTTTCCCAAAGATGCAGCTTACCTGGCTCGTTCCTAGAGAACATGATGGGAACTGGTAGTTGTTTGGTGTGGGCTGCAAGGTTCACGTCCTGCTTGGCAGACCTTGAGGGAAGTTCTCAAGACACTGGAATTTTCTTTATCATAGAATGGTTTGGGTTGGAAGGGACCTCAAAGATCATCTAGTTCTAACCCCCCTGCCGTGGGCAGGGAAATTCTCCACTACACCAGGTTGCCCAAAGCCCCATCCAACCTGGCCTTGAACGCCTACCACCTTATTGTCCTCCAAGCCTTGCTGTGATCAGGACAGGAGACAATGATCAGGATAACGTTTCTGCTGGCATTTTCCTCAAACAGCTTCCTGGCCTCGGGCATGTAGTAGAGCCTCTTCAGCAGACGCCTGTTTCCCAGCTGGTGCCAGCCCCTGCCCGCGCAGCACTACCTGATGTCCAGCTGCTACGCACAGCTGCGTTTGCATAAACAGATGAGGTTGTCAGTTTTCCCTGTGTGCCACTGCTAGTCTTTCCTGTCAATCCGTCCCTGCTCAGTCCTGGAATGTGCTCAGTACCCTTGCACGGAAGCGCTGCCCGAGAGCTAGCCGCCGGCTGGGACGCAAGGCACCGGGGGATCGCTCTTGAGACGAACGGCAGTCTGGCAGCATCTCATCTGCTTTGGGACAAACACACCTTTATTATTATTACTAAATTAATATTATATTAATCATAATTCCATTATTGCTGCTGACTCTTGTTGCGGTGCAAAGATGTATGTCTTAAGTAGGCACTATCCTGTCTTCAGTTATAAGCTAAATCCACAGCTCCCGATAAGGCCAGTCTGGAGGGACTTTCTGGAGACATGATGCCTCCCTCTTTCTCCCCACCCTGCCTCTGGCTCCAGGTCTCTTCCATTGCTCTTTCCACTTCACGCTCTCTGCTGCTGCAGACATAAGCTTATAGAGTGCCCAGCTGCAGAAGTCCTTCTCCACCTGTGTCTGTTTCTGTTCTTCGTCACCCTGCTTTGTTTTCTGGCTAGATTTCTTACAAGCGTTGTTCTTTCATGCTTGATCATAGCTGCATCCAAGATCCCTGCTCTTTCTGAAAATGAGTCCACTTTTCAGCCCCAAGCCTATTTTGGAGACAGGGTAATAGGCAGCGGGCTCAGGGGGGTGCAGAGGCAGGGGTCCTGTGGAGCTTAGCAATTGATTTGGATGTCTGTGAGCTCCCTGCAGACCACGCTACTGCTCTCCTGGGGTGGCCAAAGCTTTACATTTGTGTTTACTTTTCATCTCTGAAATTCTCCAGGTCCTAGGTTTGCCTTCAATAAATAGTAAAACTACATCTCCCATATTTCATCTCATCAATACTGTAATGTATTGTTTGTCAAATTCCTCCTGACCTGTTGTAAACATGTTAGAATTCAAAATGTTAGAAAATAGGATTTGCTTATGTTTAAGGAGAATGAAGTGGCGAGTGAAGCTGTGTACGCTGGGTGTTGTGGCTGCACAGAAACACACGTTTCATCCTCCCACTGCAGAGCTAGTAATAATTCTTCTCAGCTCATACTCAGTCTTCTGTCGGTGCAGCTTGCTTCTGTCGATGCTCCCTTGCTCAGCCTTTTGCTGTGTTTACCCGAAGCAGTGGAGCCTGCTGTGCTGAGCCCCGTTCCCCTGCATGCAGGGTGCCCGCCTTGGCCGCTGGCAGAGCCCCCCGGCTCCCACGGAGCCAGCCCAGGAGCTCGGGTAGGGAGCAGCTCCCACCAGCACCCAGCACGGCGGGTGCTCGGAGCTACCCAGCTCGGGAAAAAGGCCCCGGACGAGGGAGGCTGAAGGCACCTTCAAGACCACCTGTAGTTCTGGAACTTTTTGAGAAGAAAGTGTTAATCGCTGAGCTTCACAGTGCTGGTCGTATTAGCTTAATTGGATGAAATCTTCGTTTGGAGGCACTGATTTTGAGAGCAGCTTTTAATTAAGAGTTAAGGTAGGGTTTTTAATTGCTTTTCTTCCCTCTGTGAGCACTGGGTACCACTTCGTTCTCGGCGAAATCAGAGGATGCTTTTTCGCGGGTCGACGTAGCGCAGGGTCAGCCTGGCAGTGCGGGCAGGCGGCACGGCGTGCACTGCACGCCGCGGGGCAACGGGGCTCCCGGCAGCGACCGCGCCACTGAGGGTGGGCAGCAGTGTGGCTGCTGCAGCCTTCCTCCCCGGGCTCCTCCTCGCCTTGAGTAGAGGTGACGGGAGATGCTGGCGGGCACTCAGCAGCGGGTGTTTCTCGAGGAGCCCGTGGCAGCAGCAGTGAGCCACGTCTGCCGCTGCCAGCTCTTCGGTGGGGTGCAGCGGGGGCCTCCGAGCTGGGGCCAGGAGGCTTTTGCCG